CACATACTTCTGTGACAGCCTTCTCATCTAAACCCAGTACAACAAATCCAGTCTTCCTGTTTTTATCTGAATGGTAACTATGGTTACAGGCAACAGTGAGGCTTACTTAACTGAAATTCCTTACCAGATGTTGTTTTCAGTGAAAAGATTTTATAATGCATTAAAGAACATTCAGGCTACACAAACAAAAACAAGCAGAAACTAGTCGAGCATGAGGTTTTTTAATGATGGGAACCCTTTCCATTAAAAACTGAACATAACAAATAAAAGTTCCTAGAAGGAATGAGGAACAAAACCTCCTAACACAGATTTAATGGACAACAGAAGCTGCAGAACTGCTCCTTATAACCTCTTCCATGAAATCATATTACTTTCCCTCCCCCATTACCCGCACCATAACCCAAACTCTTCATCTCTTTAGGATAACATGACACACTGCACTGCAAAAAAGGTCATGTGCAGTCTGCTGCCATTAGACTACATATTTTAATTTTCTTTTATTGTCTACAGTTTTCTTCCTTGTATTATAAACTATTGCTGGTGCTATTTTCATTGCTGGTTAACACTAAGCTAATGTTCCTTATTAATTTTTAATAAGGACCAACGACTTCAGTTGTTAGTTTTGTATATATTTAATCTTTTGTTACACTCATCAAAAACTTTCATGCAGTTTTATTAAATACCATAAGTCTTCACAGTTACACTATCATTATTGTTCTGGCCAATTACTACAGACAGCTAAGTTAGGTAAAAATATTACAGTCAGATAGGGCTAGGCCCCTGAGAGAATCAATACAGAAGACAAGAACACATTACACCTGTGGCTGGAGATGTATCTGTGAAAGGACAGGCATCAAGATAAAGACAGAATGACTAAGCCTACATTTTTCCCCAAGCAGTGTAAGTGGTATCAGCCGGTTCAATAAAGTCTAGACAGACATCAGTCACCCTGGTGGGTAACCAGTACCTCTGGATCCATCCCTTCCTAAAAAGGTCTTTGCTCCTTCCATGTATATGTGCTATGTGACCTGCTTCCCCATTGGATCAATATTATGTAAACGGCTACACTTGTAATCTTATTGGTTGATCACAGTTTTGACCCATATTGTACCCACCTTATGATTTTGCTCTATAAAACTTCTTTCAAGGAGTGGTCTCATTGGGAACCCACTTTCTGGTCCCCCATCTCTCAGGACCTATTTAAGTAAAGTTTTCCTACTCTTAACCTCCACTGTTTCTTAGGATTCATTCTTCAGTTTGGGGGAACATAAACTCAGTGTATTTGACATCCAGCGGGTTGGTAGTTATATTTATCTCCCTTATATCAAACTTTTCCATTTTTTGCAGGCAAATCTGCCTAAAGAAAATTACCTAAGGATAATTACAGGAAAGGACAAGAAGTCCTGAGGATCCAGAGCAATCGCTCCATTACTTTGAAGGTAGGGTAGTAATCCTTTGATCTTCAGTTTATTCATAAAAATGGAGATATAATCTAGTATTTCACAGGACTGAGGTAATTTTAAAAGCTAACATACATCTTTTAAAGCTGGGACATGCTGAGTGTGGTTCCGCACGCTTGTAATCCCAGTACTCGGGAGGCAGAGGCAGGAGGACTGTGGCGAGTTTGAGGTCAGGCTGAGCTAGACAGAGAGTTAAGGCAGGACGAACTACATAGCAAGATTCTGTCTCAAAATAAATAAAACAAAACAAAACAAAATAAAAGCTAGGACAGAAACATCTACATGGCCAACATTCTGCATATACCTCTTGGGCACTCACCTCGTGACAGATACTTTTATTTTTACCACACAGATCATTTTAATTCTATGATAGCTATGAATTACGATACAGACTTATTTTTAGTTCATATAATAGTTCTTTGAAGAGAAAAATTTGTTTTCTCTAGAAAATTTTATGACACTAAACTGCTAGTAAAATACCACTTCCTGGTATTCACAATTTTCAAGTCACGGTTTATGTAACAGTACTGATAAAAATGTGTGAGACAATCCAAATTAATGTACTTGACTAATAACTACTGACAGTATAACTTACATTAATACAAAAATCTAAAGGATGCCATTACTCTGTTCTCATGTCAAATCAGTATTCCTAAAATCTTTACAAGACATTACACACACACACACACACACACACACACCCTCTTTCTCTCTCTCCAGATAATACTGGTCTACTTTACTTTTTATTTCCTTGCGGTACTGGGGATTGAACCCAAGGCCTCTGCACTAAACTGAATCCTCAGGGCTTTTTTTCTCCCAATATGTTATTTTGAGACAGGGTCTTGCTAAGTCACCAAGGTGCACAGGCTAGACTCAAATTTGCAGTTCTCTTGCCTAGCCTCCTAGAGTGCTGGGATTATAGGTGTGTGTCACCGTGCCCAGCGCTGGCTTAGTTTTAAACCTCTGGATCCCTGTTTCCTAGTCTATCTAGGGTTTGAAAATCTGAGGCACTACGGTCCCACCCTTCCTTCCTTAGGCCTCTGCAGCAATCAAGATTCCTGCTGAGTCCTGAAGCTCCTTGAGGGTCCTTCCGAGCAAGCATCCCACGCAGTTAGAAATGAGATGCATGAGTCATCTCAGATCATTTTTATTACAAAAGCCGAATTAAATCCATAATTACAGAAGACAAAAGTCATGTAAACAATAAACTTTTTATCTAAATACATATAAAAACAAAGCCCACTTAAATAGATTTGTCCCCACAGCAAATCCAAATCACCACACATTTATGGGAATGCCTATTCTATAAAAACAACTCAATGAGACACTACTCTCTAAATGTGATCAGTGCTGCCCAATACCCCAAAACCTACTCATGGCAACAGTTTGCTTACAACAATAGACAACTTTGTGTATTCTATCTTTGAAGTAAATCAAGTCATTCAACAGCAGGAAATAAATTCAGTTCTACTTTAGCCTACCAATTCTTACACATGCTGGAAGAAAGGTACTTCTCTTCATAAGAAAAGAAAGGACTTTAAAAATATAGTTCTACAGGTGAAAGGTTTCTTCTAACCACAGTGATATTTTATCAGATACAAAACCTTGGCAACAAATAAATCTTGTATTTAAACCTGATGTATAGTATTTTTTCCACAAGTTCTAACCAAGAAAAAAAAAAAGCACAATCTAGGGTAACTGAAATTCAAAGTTAAACAGTTTTCTAAAATGATCACCACTCCAAATTAAAAGTTAAAATGCATAACATTCACAAGGGTCAAATGCTCACCAAAAACAAGAGCTCCACAGCATTAAACATCCCTAAGAAATGTTTGGCTCTTTAACAACACACACAATGACTTATTCTAAGTACTTAGCAGAAAAATGCACAGCCTCTACATTTGTTCTTACAATTCTTCAGAGGTACTGCTTAGAGACCACTGATTTTTAAAGCGTATTACTTTAGAAAAAGAACTGGCTTCCAAAAATGTTTGACTGTAACCTAGAAAGTTTCAAATACCGAACAGAGCACCCTCTTGAAGATATACCATGACATAAGCTCTGTAGGTATCACAATGAAAATCTTATTCACTGGTCTCAATGACTTCCTCATTCCTGTGTAGAATGTATCCAGTTACACAGCCCTCCTGTTCTAAGCCACCAGGGAAGGACATTTTGACAATGGCAACGTCTATAACCATTAAACTCTCTTAGCACTGTGTTTGTTACTCGAGAACTGATGATGCTTATTTTGATCTAGTATAGGCAAGTTGATCTTTTTTTTTTTTTTAATGCAACAACCCACAATCCACTCTATTTAAATATTGTTCCAAAAGGAAAAAACTGTAATAGTATTTAAAAATGGGAGCATGTCTGGGTATGGATACATGAAGGATTCATTACTATTTTGTAGATACTAAAATTTTCAAAATAAAAAGGAAGAGAGAGGTGAAAAGAAAAGGAGTGAAAGAAGGGAGGGGAGGAAGCAAGGCAGGAAAAGGAGAGGTGGGGAGAAGAACGGGATTTCGGTACAAACAGAGCTAGGTTTGAATCCTAGCTGTAACTTATTAACAGTGTGACCTTGGTAAGCCTCAAGTTCTTCATCTATAAAACTGGAGTGATAACAGGTCTTGCTTTGTGGAATGGTTAGATTTGAATGAGATAACACATGTAAAGCACTTCCCACAGTGCTTCAAACCACTAACTAATCAACACAATTATTTTTATTATAATCAAGTAAGTTTTCAGTTTAATGAGTTTATAGCTTTGGCTTAGTCTATTTAGGAATGCATTCAGTTTTTCAACAACATGATACAATCTTTGTAAAATTAAGGAAAATAATTAGTATCAAGAAATACAGAGCTTTCAATCAACGTTGTCTGTGGACTGAAAGCAACTGAAGCACAAGCTCAAAGATCAGCCTGCCTGCATTCAGATTCCAGGCCTGTTACTTGCTGGGTGCGAGACGGCAAATATTTACTCTGCCTTAGTTACTGCGTCAGCTAGGATGGCAATGGGTGCTGTGACGATTGCAACCACATATGTAAACTGCACAGAGTACCGGCCAGCAGTAAGTGCTTTGTGCACTTTTAAATGTGGATTTAGCTGTTAATTCTCACCAGAAAACTGTTCACTACTCCCAAATTGGTCAGTGTTAAGCCCAGCTACTCACTACAGTAACCTGACCAGGTAATATGATTTGGAAACTTGTGAACTACAATCTAGGTCATCTACCTACAGATTTTGCATATCAGAGCTTACTATACACTGTCATTGGCAAAATCTAAAGACATATCACAGCTATAGGAGCATGTGTGTGTGTGTGTGTGTGCGCGTGCACGCCCGTGCATGCACATGCACTGAAGTCTGGAGTGATGCTCTCTCGGCAGTGGGAATGTGACATCTGTATTTTATTTGTATTTTCTAATTCTCCACTGGGCTCACATAATGCTTCTATACTAGTAACGGGTTATTTTAAAATCTAGGAATGAAAGAAACAGCTTGTGTTTGTATAAAGGGAAACAACCACAAATTGCATACCTGTATTTATGGATGATGGCATTAAATAGTTTTCCGTCTCTCCAGCAGGTAGTGAAGTTCTCACACCGCACTCCAGCGTAGCCCTCAGTTGCCTGCTGCGTCCACAGCAGCAGCCTCTCTTTCGCAGACATATCTTCTGACTCTCCAGTGACATGGATGTCAGATATCTAAACACAATAGGAGGGAAAGCGTTAGGAAGGAAGGGAGCTAACACAGACAGAGTGCTATGTGCTGAGCACTTCTCAAGTGCTAATTAATCCTCATTACTCTCATTTATTAGCTCAATATACTTTATGCATTTCACATACAGTAAAACTGAATTTAACATATTGATAACGATGAATATAACTTATACATATCCAATTTTTAAACACCTAACTTTTTTACTATGCCAAAACTTTCCAGCGTTGAAAAATACTGCATTCTTCTTTGCTAATCAGATCTGTTAAAACAACTGAAGCAAATCCAACGGATCAGAAGTAAAAAAATTACTCTATACTACCACCTGCAGAGCAAAATTTGATCCAGCAGGTAATCTGTGCAAAGAATAAAGAAAGAGTGCCTTCTCCTATGAACTCTCTTATATAATAATTTGGCTGAAAGTCTTTAATTTTCTTGTGAGTCTTGCTCAGCTTGTTCAACAGGAAACCTTTACCAGCTGATTTTTACCTACATTTTGTATTCACTGTTTTTAAACATTTTCTATTAAATAATAAAATAAGCCACTAGTTTCTATGATTTATACTTTCCCAGGAGCATCTCTTTGACAAGGGTCCTACCTAACCAGAGAATTATACTAAGGTCCAAAGCAACTTTACTAAGGATTACACAATAATTCCGAAGCTGGGATCAACACCAACCAACAATTGCTCCCTCAGTCACAGTAAGACGCAAAGCCAAGGGATAAAGGAGGTAGGAGGCAAGCCAGGATTAGGACAGGCAAGTAAGAGTGGAAGCAAAAGAGAGAGGGCTACAAATCATCCTGAAGCAGGAGTGACATCCGCAGACCAGTCATGAGATATGCTTCTAGTCCCGGCTACCAGTGCCACAGCTTCAAATAATCATTCCACATCTGTGAGTCAACCTCCTCATCTATAAAGTGAGGAAGGCAGAGGCTAAAGTAGATAATGTTTAAGGTCTTTTGTGGGCTAAACTCTTACTAAAAACAGTGAACAAATACAGCGCTCAACAGGTCAAAATACTGAGTCAAACAGCTGAAAGTGGAAAATACTCCCGCCTGAAGGAAAGCTTTTTCCATGTGGGTACCGGGGAGCTCAAACAGGAAGCCCTTCATTCCTCTCAGCTGCCACAAGAGCCGGAGCACAGACAACCCCGGACCTGGGGCACGAAGGCTGTGGCAGGCCAGGTAACAAGGGCACCGTCCTGGTAGGTCAGAATGGTGGTCCTCACCCAACCTTTCCCAAGAGCACAGCGAGCAACAGCCAGGCCCTGCCATGTGGAGCTGCGCATCGTACAACCCAAGACACTAGCCTTGAAAAATGGCCAAGACATGAAAGTAAGGTGGCGTTTCAAGTTTAATCTTTCCCAGGAATTCACGCTGATCGCCACAGGATCAAAAAGAATTATATACACGAATCCACTGTGCAGAATATAGGAGGAATTTTTCTTACTTTAATGTGAAATAAAAACCCACTCTTTCCTGCCCCACTTCCAAGGATATCCTGGTCTAAAATTATGCCAGTAATCCTTCCCGGCACGGCCCATGCATTTACACTGCCACTGCTTACTTGCCCGAATTACTCAGCTGCTTTAAGGCTGTCCCCTCGCTTGTAAAGTGGTGACGATGGTAAGATTCAGTGTGTGTGAGAATTCAGCCTTAGCACAGTGTCACACCTGGCACAGAGTAAAGACATGTTCAATACAGGTTAGCTTACTTGTCACAGCTGGTGTTATTCTTTTGACAAAGACAGAAGCAAAAGCTTCTCTTCATTCTTCTCCCCACTCTTCCCATGGACAGAAATAAACATTACGGTTTTAAAATTGATACCTCAAACTAATCAAACCTATTGGTTCAGAGAAACTAATCTAGGAAATGGTGCATAAGAAGTTGGGCCTCTAGGTAAAATTTCATCACAGGTCCCTCTGTGCTGACAACATGAACCACTTCTGGGAGCCCTCAGAATGCAGGAGCTGGGGGACACTTACGGATATAAAGATGCGCGAGTGGGGGAGAGGTTGCTTTTTGCTGATTCAAGCAGACTCCAATCCAGTCCACTTACAAAAATTATTACCCACTAACTAGGAAAGTGAGTAAATCTCAAACACAGGAGCCAGTTTTGAGTATTACACAGTATTCTACCCGAGGAAGGATGTGAGAGATCTGAAAATGGTTCAGCAACCAAGAGAAAACAATTTATTCTTATTAAGTAAGTTTCCAACAGATGAATCTCAGATTGTTATCACACTGTTTCAGATGATCACACACACACACACACAGACTATTTAAAAAGCTGTAATTTTAAAACGTGTATTTAGGATGTTATGAACCAAGCTTTAACAGATCAAAGACTAATGCATTAACTCACTTGCAACTTCTCCTGCTATTCCCAAGTAACTAAACATCATTCTTGCATGGCAATTTAAGGTATTCCTAAAAACAGACGTCAAGAGTAGTCACTATTTATCTGAGTGTATCAGACTTTTCATTACACCATGTAACCACAATAAAAAGGAGAAGTAAGAGAAAGGCTGTGTACGTCAGCTGTTGTCACACAGAATGCTTGATGTGAAATCTGAGTGTTCTGCCAAACAGCCTGAGTCATCCGCCAGTGACAGGAAATGCTGGTTGCACATTCAGGCTGGACTCCAGGAAGTAATCCAGCTGCCTTCTCCTAACACTTGAAGGCCGTACAGTGATGTGCAGAGGGTTTTGATTCACCCTGCCCAGGCTTCAATCTTAACATCAAAAGTTAACAGGGTGATTACTGTAGGCCATTCACAAAATCTCTCCAAAATCCATTTTCTTCCTCTTTAAAACTTAAAGGAGGATGTCTACTCCCTGGGTGGGTCTGAAGATTAGAAGAAATGAAGCACTGTTTAACACAGTGCTTGGCACACAGAAAACTCTCCCACCACTATTCTATTATTAGCATTTTCTGCTTCAAGCTTCTCACCAGCAATCCTCAGCCACGTCCAATACAAACTACTTTATAGCAGAGCTGCTCTTGGAAACTTGATGCCCTCAGCCTCACATCCAGGTCACTGGTGGCTCCACTCAGAGGCAAGGTCTCCCTGTCCCTGAGCCTCTCAAGTCCCTATTTCACTTGGCTTTACTTCTCTTGATGGTGACTACCACCATTCCCAAACCTTCCAGAAGTATCTATGCCATGGAAAACAAAGCTTCAGTGTCTGAGATGACAACTGCTGGTTCCAGACGGTGATGTGCAGGGGACTGAAGTGGAGAGGACACAGGGCAGTGGGTGGGGTGTGAGGAGGAACGTGGGTTTGGGCTGGTAGGCACGCATTCCTGCACCTAACATGGGGTGGGGGTGTGGGGATCATTTTTGAGAAGAGGAAAAGGTAGTTGGTCAAAAGTGTCTGGTAATGTAAAAAATGAGGTCTCTGAATCTTCAGCTGTGGTTTAAAAACCACAGGCTGGAATGGCTTGTGTCACCTGGGGGTTGGATATACCTGTGCTACCTGTTTGCCTGCTGGAGCCTGGAGCATGGCTGCATTTGAGCTACCGCAGTAGGGAGGCCTGGGATTGAGCCAGAAGGTAAAAGCAAGGCAAGGGATTAAAGATCTAAGACTCTGGAATCTGCATTCATTCATTTAGGCAGCCAGGATACTCCTGACCACTTCTACTCTATCATACCCTCCCAGAGCCTTTCCCACCGTGATTGGCATGCAATCCCCAACCAACAAACACATCCATTTTAAAAAGGTCACGCAATCAGATGAGTATTTTTTGGGCTTATTATTGACACGAGACAAATGATACATATGATAATATGTTTCGTCAAATCAATCTTGGCTGGGGATATCATTCTGCAATAAAGCACTTGCCTTACATGTGCAAGGCCCGGGGTGCTATGCCCAGAACCACACACAAAACAACAAAATTGATCTTGGAACTCGAAAAGCAACCCAAATTTAGCCTTTGTTCTCCAAGTTCAAAGTATAATTGAAAGAGAATACAGGGGACGGGGAACAACCTGAACAAAATGCTCCATCACAAGCCAAGTGAACTCCAGCACCAGTCACAAATGAAGTCACAGCTGTGAGAGGGTTAGAGTGGTACCGGCCTCAGCAAAGCTCCCCGCTGCTAGAATGGAGCTTCCGAGGCGACAGATGGTTCTAGCGGGGACATCACATGACCTCGTATGTCTCCTGGAACTGAGCTTTGTCTGGTTTATCAGCTTCAAATGTGAAATTTTAGTAAATGTTTATCAGAGTTAGCGAAATAATTTGGAGCCCCTGGGCCATAACAGAAGAATCTAGGTATCCAATACATAAAGTTTTTCTTATTATTCAGGACTGTGGACCTTGAGAATAAAGAAGTTACCACTTCTGTTTCTACTTTTCATTCTATCTGTAAGCAAGCTCAAAAAAGTGAATTAAAAATACTGAAAACTAAAGTCAACCTTAAAAATAACCGATCCCAACATGAAACACCCTCATAACCTTTCCTACATTCACATCTCCTTTCTCAGATAATCTCTTCCCTTACACACAACACTGACACTACTCCCTATTTCCCTTCTCTCTTGGCAGAGCTGAGACAATAGCTAATGATTAAAAACTCAATAATTACAACTAAAAGCTGACGGTTCACAGATAAGTCTCTTGGAGCCCCAGGTAGAAGAGCGTGGACAGGTCATTGTCAAACAAAACCCAAATTCACAGTTCCTTCTACAGTCACCAGACATACACCTGCTCATGCACAGGCAGGGGTGTAAAATAATGGATGCTTTACTGTGCAGGTCTGACCAAGTGCTCATAGATGCACTATGACCCAGCATCTCAACAAACCCCTACAGGACACAACAAATACCTGAGAATAAGTAAATGTTTTGTTACCACAGAGACAGCCAAAGAAAGTAGTCCTCTCAAAGGGTGAATTAATCTGATTTTACTGACTCTGCCTCATGTATATTCACTCATCTTGCCCCTCACACACTCATCTGTAGTTTCCCCCATCCTAGTG